TGGCCTTGGCCGCCCATCCTCACTGCTGACAGGCTCGGGCGGGCAGCTCTGTCCGGATGGGGCCTTGACGCCCAGCACGGTCAGGCTGTCTGCTTTCATCCAATGATCCAGGTGGTGGGCTTTTCCTTTTGATAAAATAGAGACTGAAGTGAGACAGAAAAACTTCTGCAATGAGACCCTGGAATTGCAAGAAGCTGCTGCTTTTCAAGAAAGCGCTGAGGAATTTCGACAGCTGTCACTCGGAAGCCTGTTAGGGGAAGCCTGGAGGGGTGAGAGGCCGTAGGATCTGCTTCCGGGGCTGACGTTCCGAGAGTGGAAAGGGGCTCAGCACCGTCCTGGAGCCGTGGCCCCCGCAGGTGTCAGACCCGCGGGAGCAGCGGACCCGGTCTCTCCCAGCATGCTCCGCCTCACGGCAGTCCCAGGAACCACTGGTCTGTGCTCCGGACAGAAGCCCAAGGTGGCCGAGGAGGTTACTGCCTGTACCCCTTCCTTAGCTAGAGGGCCCTCCTCTTCCTGGCCTCAGAATGCCTGCCACCAGGTCCCTCCGTCACAGGGACAGCAGTATCCTCAAACCCCGCCTGAGGCCCAGGTGTGGTGCCGTTTCCCTGGGCTGGCCTACCCTGGGCTTTGTCCTGGGAGTGAACGCAGTTGCCAGAGGCTCTTGTGGAGGGAGGGACTCGATGGGCATTTTAAGGGGACTCAAAGAGCTTCCTGGGAACCAGTGCCTGGCAGCTGTGTATGTATATGGCCACAGGCTTTGGGAAAGTCGGACAACAGAGGGAAACAGGGGAGGGGGAAGATGGTCACACAGCTTCGCCCGGAGCCCCGAGAAGCCCGTGCCCTTGGCTGGGCTGCACCCTCCCTACCCAGGGCCTTCACAGCTTAGCAAAGCTCCCGGCTTGGCCGGGCCTGGGGCTTCATCAGGCCACAGACTTGACTCGGTTTTTGCTCTAAGGGAACCACTCCCACTGGCCTGTCGGCTGTCTCTCTTGTACTTCCTGTAATGATAGTTATTGACTCTGGTAGCAGGCAGTTCTTAAATAAAGACGGTTTCTCACCCTGCGGAGGCAGCCGGTGCCAGCTGTGGGCATTTCATCTTCAGGCTAAAAGCACACTCCTCCGTCCTGTGCCCTAAGCCGGGCTTTGGCCCAGTGCTTCCCCCTCCCCCAGTCCCCGCTAAGGCCGCCTACCCTGCAGTCCACATTGCCGCGCCCGGTCCCGTGGCGCCAGCCCAAGGGGCTGAGGCCGGCGCAGCAGCACACACGCAGGCATGCCGCAGACTGGGCTGGCGCCACGGGGCACAACGGGCAAGCCGCTCGCGACGCTCCTCTTTCAAGGTGCCCTGAGCTTTAAGACACTGGAGGTATTGACTCAACTGTACCCAAGGGGTGTCTTCTCCCTGCAGAGGTCACAGTGGCCTCCACCTGCAGAAAAGGAGCCTCGGCTGTCTGCTCACAGCAGCCAGGAGAATTTCAAGTCCTGGTCCAGTGCCCAGCTGCAACATTCTCAAGCATCAGCGAACGCCGAGCACACTTCCGTTACACCTGAGAGCTGTGCAGTGACACACCTGGGCAGCCCTGTGACTGTCCCATTCGCTCAGGGCCAAGCTGCAGGGCTCCATGCTGCCTGTGCCCACAGCTGTCCCAGGGAAGAGGGAGACAGGCAGGCGGAGGTCCCGCTGCTTGCTGCCTAGCCATGTGCCCAGGCCGGTTCAGCAGCAGCCCAGGCTGACAGCGGCCCCAGAAGGGGTCAGCGTGGCTGACAGCAGGTACCACAACAGGCTCATCCCTTTCTCTGTGCACCCAAAAGGGCTGCTAGAACCCCAATTTCAGTGCAGTCAGCATCTCCTTGACCCTCGGAGGCAGATTACACGCACAGAATTCAATGAACTGAATTGGTTTGGGGTCTTGACTGACACACCTGAGTCTTTCGTTTTCTTCCCTGTTCAACCCCTTCGCACCCTCGGAGTCAGAAGTCAGGTGTCCAAGGCGTAGAGGGCTCTACACCGAGAGTCTGGACCTGCCACTGACTGCGGCGGGATCCCTGGGCTCCCGTTGCTCTCAGCCTCTCCGTCGGGAAGATGTGGGGCTGTACCCGTCCTCCTCCCTCCTCGCAATGCAGCACTGAGTTTGCTACAAAGATGCTTTGTGGTCTCATAAAGCAGAGCAAGCCCTCCTGGCTGCTTCGGCAAATTGTCCAGTGCTGAACTAACACGCGTCAGTGATAACTCGGCCTGACTCACGTCCGGTCCTTCAGTCTACCAAGCAGTCTCACCACAGGATCTCATTGGATCCTTTCAGTCACGTGTTTCAAAGATGAGGACTACAGAGGGTCAGCCAGCTTGCTCCATTAGAGTCCATGGCAGAGGCAGAAGCAGAACCCAGGTCTTCTGAGGTAGAGGGAAGGGGGAAGGGTGTGTGGAATATGGAAGATCTTTTCCAAAGAGCAACAGTAACGACTTCCTGTGCACGGGCCTACATCTTCACCGTACATCAGAATTACCTATAAAACTCCCACAAAACAAAGACGCTCCGAACTCGTGACCTGTATGTATCTAGGGCACCGGAAGGGCCCACGAGGCAGAGGCTCCCCAGCGGCAAGAGGCACAGCGAGCACCCGGACTCCGCTTCTGTGCTCCTCACACTGAGAGGAACCCGAGTTCCCGGAAAACAGCCGAGTCGGGTCTGGAGAAAGAAAAGTCCCAATGTGGGCCGAGACATCTTGTACTGGAAAGCAAGGGCATACTCGAAGTCAGACGAGATCACATCTGAAGGACACAAGAGCTGGCTTGAAGGGACTCTTACTGGCCAAAACTGGGGACAATGTGGACATCAGAAACATGACAGCAGTGGTGGACTATATATAAGTTGCTGAAGAAAAAGGAGAGTCCATTGAGACCTCAAAAGCAAAGAGTGAAAGAGTAGCTCTTCTTTACAGAAAACTGCAGGCTAATAAGTACAGAAACGATGAATTTAGAGAATCACTCTTTTGCAATCCCCAACACTGCAATAAGGCAAGGATCGTGAATGGCTTCCAAAATGTTTGTGAACATTTTTGGGGAAACCAGATCATCACAGAGTATTATCTCACAGATTAATTACAAAAGGAAAATATATCCTGGGGTGGGCAAAAGTAGGCTTACGGCTGTAATACACTAACACAAGAATAAGCTGTTTCGTGTCCTCACAACTGTAAACCTGCATCCGCACAGCCCTAAGCTGTCACCAGCGGGTCACCTGACGTCACGTGCCTCCGGGAGTGGTATGCCATCATTTACAGAGGGCTCTGGTCAAAGTGTTGAAGATTCGTTGCTCAGACCCTAATCATTAGGAAACAATGCAGACTGTGGGACACTATTCAAGACAACTGGCCTGCCTAGACTCTTCAGCTGAATCAAGGTCGCGAAGAACCTCGGAAATAGCAGGGGTTCTGTTGTACAATAAGGTGTAAGAGAATCAACCAAATGTAATATGTTAACCACCTTCACTTGATCCTGGATAAAAAATTAAATTAAAAAGCTCTAAGATTTCGGGGGGGGGGGGGGTCAAATGTATGTCAGATTAGGAACTGCTCCTTTCCTTAGACGTGAGGGCACCGTGGTCACACAGGCGGATCCCCCATGAGAAGGGGCACACGTCACGTAGGAATAAAGAGCCACAGTGTCTGGGACTAGCTTTCAAATGTTTCAGCAAAATCATCATTTGGAAAGATAATTGTGACACATGTTCCAAGTTGATGAATCTACTAGATAAAGAAAGGGTCTACGGGTATCACCAAACCTTTCAACTTTTCTACGGGTCTGACGTTGCTTTAAAATTAGAGAGAGAGGAAATCCTAGAGATCCATTGGCCACAACTGACACTGAATCAGCCTCTTCAGGGTTGGGGCTCAGGAATCTTACATAAAAGCTCATCCAGGTGGTTCAGACACAGCTAGAGAAGAGAACTAACCACTGGTCTTATTTCTACTTCCTCCTCTGGGACGAGAGAGAAGTGAAGGGAAGAAATGCTGCAACTGTCTCAGAGTTAGTTTGGCTGGGCCGAGAGCCTTTTCCCCGCCGTTTCCACGAGCCAATTATCTCAGGCGGTCTGCATGGCCTCTGAGGGCGTCGAGCCTGGATTTCCCACGGAGGGAGGCGCTCATCTTCCCTCCAGTGGCCTTGGCTGCTGTAAGAAACCAACGCACTCGGCCTTTCTGGGAACACAGGCTTCAGGGCACCGAAAGAGCCAGGAGAGAGCAGGGAGCAAGCCAGGGACTTCTCGGGGGAAACACCAGATGAAGACTCCGATGTCTCACCAGGAATCAATGCAACACTGAGCACAGAGGGTTCACCTGAGGAGTATGTGGTGGGGGGGGGTGGGGGGCACACGCAAATAAATTCTCAACACTTAATAAGGGTCTGCTGCCTACTAAGTCCGATGCCATGACTGACCTCGGCTCTGGTCCACGTGGGCCTGCACCCCACCACAGAGCCATGTGTTCAACTGTCTATTCTGAGGAACTTGAGGAAAAGGAAAGCCCACCTGCTTATGGGACAATTTAAACAAATCCAAGAACTTTCAAATGAAGAGTAGAAAAGATGATCTCCATACAGCTCCTGTCAATTATTTTTAATGAAGGAGAAAGTGTTTTCACTAGGAAAGCTATTAACATATTCTACATGACTACGCTGCTCAGAAGGGACAGGCGGGGAGCTCCCGAGTTGGCAAGGGCAGAACTGAGTGCGAGTGTGGAAACGACCTCCTCCCAGTGGCAGGGGAGACGCATGCAGTCAGGTTGCCCGGGTACCTATCGGGCAGGGAAGCTCAAGAGATCCACCTGGGACACAATCAGATTATTGCCATAGCAACCACGATGCTGCCTTCTCCACGTCCTCCACTCCATTGGCATGGGAAGCCCTCCCTCTTAGCTGATCCACAATCAGGCAGCCAGAACCCCACCCCCACCCCCACCCCGGGCAGCCTGGGCAGTCAGCCATTCAGGAGCAAGGCCTGTTCGGCCTAAAGGCTGGCTCTGCTGTAGATCACCCTCAGCCCACTGTACAAGACAACACCCACCAACACACAGCCGATCACTCCACTCGCGACTCCTATGCCCAAGGCTACAGCCACCTTCTTTTTCCATGGTGGACGGTGAGGGTTGACATAGCTATCTAGATTCACTTCCAGGCCCTCACTTATTAACCTCTGATCCTCAGTAAGGGACTGATGAAAATCCAGGTTCACCAAGTTAGGAGGAAGGACCCGCAGCCCAAAATAGAGCCTCTTGACGAGTCTGAAGTTTTTTAACAGCTGCACGTCACAGCGGTAGGTCCCCGAGTCATACTCCTGAGCAGATGTAAACTTCACAAAGTGGGCACGGGCTCGTAAGGGCTTGAAGAGCTCGTCATCAGTGGAGATGACACCCCGAGCAAGCCTCCAGGAGAACCAGAACGCCTCCTGCCCGATCTCCAGGATGTCTGAGCTCAGGCAGCTCAGCTCAAACTCCTTCCCTGTGAAAACGGTGAAGTGGAGCATCCCGCAGATCCAGTTGGTCAGACATTCCAAGCGCTGCGATTTGCACCTCCTTCTCACCCCGTCGGGGCCCACCTCACAAACCGTCTCCTCCTTGTAACCAAGGCCACAGGTGACAGTGCAGGTTGTGGCATTGACAGTAACTCTCCCCACAGCTTTCTGCAGCTTCTCCGGGATGGCCAGTGTTTTCGGTGAAGTCGCCACTAAAGGCAGACAGAAGGCCAGCAGCAGGTTTCCGAGGATAAAGCTTGTGGTCAAAGTCTTCATGTCTCAGTAGACATTTCACCACACTCAGCCAGCACCCCACGCCATCCCAGCTGAATCCTCTATGATATCATAACTCAATTCCTTCCAGCCTATCAGAAGACACGACGTGTGCGTTGTCAGTAGAACACTGCCACTCAGTAAGTCCAAGCCCCGTCCTTGTTAGCAGGTGAGGCCCCAAGGCAGGGGAAGGTCACACTGCTGCGGGGGTACCATCTCTGCTGGTCAATGCCCACCTTACCAGTCTTCATTCTTCCCCCATTCTCTTAATGACTTTAAACCCACCTCTTGGGAAGACAAAGACTTCCGAACCTGAAGCGAACTTCCAAATCACCTCAAACTCACCAAAGCTAGACTTCTCACTCTTTCCCCTCCCCACCAAATTGTGGGGTCTAATTCAAAGGGTTTCAAAACCCCAGCTAAATCTGACCAAATTAAAAATCAAACACATCTTAAAAGAAAGTGAGGATTAACTTGAATTAAGTTACTGACTTTCAATGCTCCTAAACCTTCTATAAAAAGAATTAAGAACTCCGGACTAGAAGGCAGATGACATCCTTCCTGAATTTCTATTTCACATTCCTTCTTTGTAAATTAAAACCTTCCTGCCTGTTTCAAGAAAATCATTTTGAGCACCAAATGATGACGTGCACGTGGAAATACTTTGTAAAGGGTGAAACATTGGTCCTGTGTGAGGACTTCTAAATAGAAATTAAAATTCATGAAGACAGGGGCCAAGAGAGGCCTTTAGACTCCACAAGCGTTTACCAGCAAGGTAGCCAATACTAACGGGAGCTCCTCTCCACCTTCTGGGCACTGCTCCTTCCCGAGGGCACCGGAGGTATTTTCTGGAGAGGATGCATAGTTCTCCCAGCCTTTCGGCCGACTCCCTCCCCTCTGTAGCACAGAGGACTCACCGTTCACTTGGGCCAGTGTTGCTAGGAAACAGCTATGATGTCAAAGATGGATTCTCAAGTCACATAACAGAAAAGATTAATAAGTAAACACTCAGATTTGATGATTAAAATCAAAGGCTTAAATGGACTTTATGAAACATCTTATTGTTTAGGGGACAGTGAGTATCCAATGGGTTCTAGAGCTATTGAATCTGGGGGGGGGGGTTAGGGGAGGCTGGTAAAGAGGAATTAACTGTCCTTATGAGTTTTAAAACGCTCCTTGGAAGGCAAGAAGCTCCTCGCATGGGTTTGTATAACCTGCAGAATACCTCTGAGCACTGGGGCCTCTACCAAGTGGCTACACACACTTATACTGAATTTAAAAATTTGAAGAGATCATTCCTAGATAATCTTTTTGATTCACACCGTTTGTTTGACTTGTTTATGATCTTGTCCAGAGGCAGAAACCTGGGCCACCTGCACAGTCCCTCCAGCTCCGTGTTTCCACAGAGAAAGAGCCACCACCAGTGGAGCAAGCTGCCTGTCCTGCCAGGCACAGCCAGGTGGCGGGTGTTTCAGGAGTGATGAGGGCCTACAAACAAGCATCTACACCTGTTCTTTAATAAACATCCGATTTTATTTACAAAGCTTTAAAACTTCAGCAAGAAGTACCCAAGGCTAAGTCTCGTCTTGTACAAAACTACAGAACATTAAAAAACAAAAGGAAGGGGGGATGCAAAAGGGAAGAAGAGAAAATGCTTGCATTGTACAAATTAAGAAAATCACACTGATGGACAGGGACTTTAGGAGCTGAGAAAATTCCAGAAGCATACACAGTTATTAGGAGCTGCTGCCAGAAACCCTCGTGTCACACAGTCTGCCCACTACCGCCGAGTATGACAGAGAGACATGGAACGGAAGTTTTCTGCAAGCGAAAATATGTCAGCGAACCACCTACTAATCTCAACCACTGGTCCGAGATGAAATATGAAACGAAATTCACAAAATGAGAATTCGAGGGAAAAGCAGTGGCATCTAACAACGTAGACACGTTGCAACTGACGCAAGGAGAGCTCTTCAACTACTGAATATTTTGGTTCAAAACGATGGAGTAGGACAAAGAGGCGTATTGATGTGTTCTACTTTGATTTCTATCCGAAAATCCAAAAGGCAATCAACTCGCTTGGATACCTATAGGAGCACCCACCAGCTGACAGACATCTCACAATAACCTCTCGGAAACACTGTGAAAATGCTGACCCGGGAAAAGCACTTCTGGTCAGCTAGAAGCTCTCCTCAGACACCACCCCCCCCCCCAACCTGGTTTCTTTACTCTGGATTTTCAGAGAATTTCAAACATCTAATGTACACATCCATCCAATCTGCTACTTTTTATATAAAAGAACAGCAAAAGCAAAATGTAAAAAAATTTTAAAAAGCTAAGCAACCTTTCATAGAAAGGAAGTGACGGAAACGTCATAAGAAAAGGAGCTCGGATACAAGGAGGGAAAATGTGATGACCGATGGAAGACCAGAGAGCCACAGGCAATGATAAAAAAAATCTCGTTACTTCATCTGTGATTTGAACTGTTGCTGCTGCTTTGATTTTGGACGGCTTTACTGTCGTCACTGCATAGATTCCCCCACCCCAATAAAAAAGAAGCCTGTCGAGACACCTTACCTTGGTTTCCATTTCTGGAAGCCCACATAAGTAAAGTGATATAAACTACTTACTGATGAGCCTTGCTGGAGATGGATGAAACTAGCTACCTTAAAAAAAAACATGATTAATGAGAATGAATCAAACTGGAGGGAACATACAGTGAAAGAAAAACAAAAACCTCTTACAGCCCAGCTTGAGCAAAACGGGGTCCATTAGGAAGAGGGGGCCCTCCTCATCGTTCTTCCCTTTCTAAAGATGTCAAGTGTTTCAAGCACCTTCTTGTTTGCCCATCCTTTGTACACAGCATGGAGATCTAGGAGGTATCTGGTGAGAGGGTAAGTTTCAGAGTGGAAAAATATGCAACAGAAGTTTTCCAAGGAAGCCAGTAGCAGAATTTCAGATAAGAACAAGTCACTCAAGGACACACACTGAGAACAGGAGACAGGAGACAGGAGATAGGAAATGACAGGCCAATGATGCCGAGTACAATAAAATTAGATGAGCAAAACAGGTATCTTTTCTCCAGCAACGTAACTCAGTATTAAAGTTTAAATGAGTCAAACTCCCATTTGATGTCTTCACAAATCCTCGTTCCTGAGAGCCTATTTGGACTTATGCTTGAAAGGGAAGGGACATATACTCTTCTTTCATAATTCACTTCTTCATTCAAACATAAAATTCACTCCTTCTACCTCCTGGGTGAAGCAGAGGCATTTGTTTTAAATTAAAGTCCATTCAAATGGCTGAACAGTGTCCAGGGGCCACATGATGGAAAAGTGGGGAAGAACGAAGCACTTCGGATCTTCACAACAGTTCAGAGATTGCTCCCCCTGCTGAAAGAACAGACACAGAAAAATTTCTCTTACTGTCAATTCAACCAGTGACTTACAAGAACAGAAACACTGATGGATGCTGAATGATCATGACGCGCACACATGGGCTAAGAATCCCCCCTTCAAGTTAAAACCAACTCCAACTCCCACTTACTCTTCTTCACTGAAGCAACTATCCAAAACCCAAACCTCTACCCCATACTTTCTCAGTACTGCCCCAAAGGGCAAAAAAAGCAAATGATCAGTTCTACACATTTTCTAGGCTGCTAATTAACAATTCTCCAAGGTGTTAACAAATACTGCTTTATAACCCAAAAAGTGCAATAAGTAAAGGAAATTCTAGGGTAAGACATCTTCAAATCTTTCATATATTTGACTGACTGAGTCACTCAATGACTAACAGTGAGCAACACACCCTTTCCCAAGCACCCCTTTTCCTAAGCGACATTCTCATCACCTCAGAATTCCAAATATGATGAAATGTTAATGAAAACTAATGTTGACATTTCTATGGGCCAACAACTGATCAATACACAAAATCCTCAATAGTAAAATCAAATGAACACTTTCCTGATTATTCCATAGAAGCTGTTCAACCTCTGAGGAACATCCTTAAATGGGTTGCTGTGAAATATTAACTAGGAAGTGTAAAAAGAGAACAAGGTGAAGACAATCCTCCCAGATGTCATTGGGAATGGGGGAGAACATGCCACTTGAAGGTAAAATGGTTAAAAAATAATTGCCCGAGTTATGGAAGAAAAGTGCCCATTTATAAACTTTGCTGTTAACCTGATTTTTAAAGTAAGAATTAAAGCACAAATAAAAATGGGAAATAAAAATATATCCCCATCTGCCTGAGAACAGACTGAAATGATACTCTCCTGGATGATACACTGTCAACAATCAGATCTAAACTTTATATAGTTCAGTAAGATAAAAGGTTATTTAGTACCTGTTATGCAGATCTCTCTCAACAAAAACATAATAATTAATCTCGAGTTTATTTTTTTTAATCTTGAGATAAAAGAAATCTAAGCCACTTAACACTTTAAGGTTAGTTTTGCTGCCTGTCCCCTTGGGTACCTGACCAATCTAGTTTTAACAGTTTAAAAACAAACATAACATTGACATTTTAAGCCTAAATCGTGAGAGAAAAACCAAAACCGGATCAATCACGCTATTAGCAAGACAAGATACACAGAAACAGCAGCATAAGAGAAGACCTCCAGGCTATTTCAAGTCTGCTGCAAGGATATGTATTATTTAGTTGCAACACAGAGGCAATCTACAGTAACATAAAATTCAGCTCAGGATGAATGGCTACTACTGGTATCTTCCAATAGCAGCCCAAACCCGGGGCAGCCTAAGAAAATACTGGATACTGATTTTTGTTGGTAATCCTTCCCCAAGGATATTTTCTCCAGCCTTTTTTTTTTTTAGAGAGTGGAAGGGAGGGAATAAAGTGGGGGAGGGAGAGAGAGAAAGAGAGAGAGAGAGAGAGAGAGACATATCAATCAGTTGCCTCCCACAGGCATCCTGACCAGGGCCAGGAATCAAACCTGCAACTCAGGTGTGTGCCCTTGACCAGGAATCAAACCCGGGCCCCATGCTCTAACCACTGAGTCACACTGGCCAGGGATGGATATTGATTTTTAACTATTACCTTAGTCAGCTAATAAAACCACAAAAGAATGAGAAAGAATATCCAAATTGTCATTTTAGCAGAAATTCATAAATTAGTCTTTGACGGACTGACATGATATTTTAAAAAGCGAAGAAAGGAATAAACATCCTCAGTCACTACCACGCATTCAAACAGTCAGAGATTTGGTAGGTGGTTCAGAGGCTGGGGTAGTGAGCAGGCCAAATGCAGGGAAATCTCCCCATGTGTGTCCACTCCCGGAAGCGGCCCCTCTGTTCATTTTGGTCATTGCCACCCCCATCAGATCCAAGAGCACACCAATTCTTTCATGCCCACCATCTCATGAGGCCTTTAGACCACATATGCTAACAGACCACAACTTTGTCACAATTGCTACCGACGTTTACTGCCAAGGAGCCCTAGTTCTTGGGCAATCCTTGAGCAGTCAAGGACTGTCCTCTGGAGAGTATCTAATAAAGTCATTGTGCCATGCTGATCTGGCCTTTCCAAAAAGTCCCAGCGTGGTCACCCTCACCGAACTTCACTGATGGGTCCTCCCTCATCACAGAAAGTATGTCTTCATGGATATTGGTTCACTGGTGCTATCCAATACTAAGGAGCTGTGTGATAGGAAAGAATTTTCTGTAGTCCTAGATTTCAGAGAGGAGATATCTCAATGGTGGTCTATGTGTCTTCCAAGCTCCCCCTGAAATGCACAATGTCCTGTTGCAACATGGAACACATGCTAGCAGCTTTGTCAGGGCTAATCAGGGCGTACCAAAGTTTCTTCAGTAACTGATGAACTGCAGAAATTAACAGAGTTTTCTCACTTGAGCAGTAACAGCTGACATCTATAATCCTGCCTTCAACACTTTCTCTGTAAAACTAGGGCATTTGGGGGGAGGGGAGGTCCACAAAACCTTGAATCTACACATATAAACCTCAGGCTGAACTAATTTTGGGGGTGTGTGTGTGGTCACTGCACAGGGGCCATGCTAATCTCTCATCGTTCCAATCTCAGTATATGTGCTGATGAAGCAAGCACCCGAACTGCCTCAGGCATTCTGGATCAGTTTTCATTTTTTAATATCTGGTAGAAATCAGCAATGACTGTATGCCGCTTTTTTTTTTTTTTTTGAGAATCTCCAAGGTGTGGAAGAACATGAAACTCAAATGCCAGAATTTGTACCTCTGTGGCTTTGGCAGACCATGTGAAAATCAACAGCCTGTGCCAGCCAGCCTGTGCTTGCCCTAGGCCCTCCAAGCTGACCATGGCATTGCCCGAAAAATCCCCCACAAAAAATATGATGGGTTGTCCTGGAACTGAGACTTCTGCTAGAGTTATCTGTAACCTCATCTCACCATTCTCCTCCAGATTTCCAGCCATCACAAAGACCTTAACCCAACTGTGGCTAGTCTATAAAGCTGGATGCAGCTTCTGAGAAAGTCTTGGAACCAAATCACAACCCCTTTAAGATTTCCTAATGATCCTGTCCTTCAGAGAACTCTGGGTAAGTTTAATCTGGCCCTTTCAGTTTTGACGCTTCCATTCAGGTAAAGGTCAAGGCACCAAGGCCAGAGAAGAAAGAGGAAAACAGGCAGAAGGAAGCCTAGACTACATGGGTAAGTACACATGCATGCAGTCAGAAGTTGGTGAAATGTTTGCAATAATTAATGCAGTTCTGTCTGTGTGTTGTCAGAAAATGTATCATCACCCGGCTTTATCATATGAACGTCTCCTCCAGTTCTTTCAAAGAGTAAAGCTGTTAAAATAGATGCATCTATTTAAGGTTGATCAATTCAAGTGCCCATCAAAAATAATGTAGAAAATAAAAATCCAGTTTGGGGGGGGTGTCAATGGGGGAAAAAAGAAAGGGATATCTGTAATACTTTCAACAATAAAGATTAATTTTTTTTAAATCCAGTTTGAAGCACCCTGCTATTTCGAGATACAGGTTCTAGCCTTTGATGACACCAGTGCCTCATTTAACCTTGTCAGCAAAGTGAGTGGGAATCAATTCTACGAGGCCCTTGGTAAAGACCATCTCAAAGGAGCTTGGAAATGATGACTTGTACCAATACTAAAATATGTTGTCTACATGTCGTTCAAAATTTCACTGAAAACTACACTCAGTATTTTGAGAATTTTAGTGAATAAAAAGGCCCATTTCTTTAAGGCTGAGTAAATCTCCCAACATTCTGACTCTGCCCCAGACGTCTGTGGAGCACAGCTGGGAACACTGCTCGCACACTGCACGGTGGGCACCAGCAGCACCTCACGGTGCCTTTGCAGAGACCCAGCTTGGCAAATGCCAGAGATATTTAGCTACTGTTAGTGACCACATCAACTAAAATTAAAGTTGAAATCACTGTATTATAGAGAGAAAAATGTGAGTTTTTAAAACTTTAAATGGTTTATTTACCATACATTTACTATTACAAAGTAAATGATTAATTACAGACAGGTTTTGAAGGAGCTAAGAGACTACGTCCCAGAACATTTCAATTAATTCAGTATGTTTGGCCACATTTTAAATCATTCTGAAGCACTTCGGCTCTTTGGGCCAGAAAAATCTATTTACATCTTAAAATGTGTTTCTGCTGTAGTAGCATCAGTTTGTGCAAGAAGTGGGTTAAGAATCATTTTTATTTAATGAGCCAGTTCCTGATCTGCAACCTCTGTTGGCGATACCCATATAACTCCTACAGACTATGTTAAAGTACATACAGACAGAGCCTTAGGTGGACCAGATGTGTAGGTGGTAACTGATTATCGGTGAAGCACCATAAATGTTGTTGTTGGGGAGAAAAGGTGACGTTCAGTGGTATACTGTTGGGCTGTGAAAAACTGAAGTCTAGCTAATCTGAGGCAGAATACTCAAACTTCAGCCTCTCTGCAGAAGAGAACCCATGAGCACAGTGATGAACTGACTTAGGGTGTAAACAAGGGTTCTGTTTCACATTCCAGGGCGACCACATCATCACAATTACATTAACGCACCCACACTGAAATGTTAAGGCAAGGGGGAGAAAACCTGAATACAACCAGCCTTTTTATCAGTCCAGCCTCTGAGTCTACTGACCTAGCCACAGAAAACTGAGAGTACTGTATTAACTAAAGTAGTGTTTGTATATAAAATAAAAAGTTTCGAAAACCCAATAATAATTGAATAGAACTGGATTTTAATTTAATTACTAGTTTCTAAACAAGAGACCATTTAGTCCAGAGTCACAAATATTTGATAGAAAATGGAAACTGTTCTCCCACCCCCCAATAAAAATTCCTCCATCATATAAAAGTGAGAAAACTCAGTAAGTTGCAAAAGGCTTAAGTGTTAAGAAGCTACAGAGATACTGCAGTTTCTGTCTTTTTGGTAATCTCGTTTAAAAAAAAACAAAACACAACAAGTCATCTTTTTTATCATGATGGTACTACCAACACCTTCATTATTGCTTCTAGACTACGGACAGAAAAAGCTCTGGGATTTGAACAATTTGGAGAGAGAGAGAAACAGAGAGAGAGACAGAGAGAGAGAGAGAGACAGACAGACAGACAGAGAGACAGAGAGAGAGAGAGGAAAGCAGCCACAGTTACATAGTCAGGGGCTGTATAAAGCTAGTAACTCTGGTTATCTATATGGCTCTTTCATTTGAGGCAAAACAAAACATCTAAGAGCAAATACAGATGAAGGAATGAATTAATTAGGGGTTGTCACCCCTTTTTGGGTCACGAATTGCTATAGGCATCTTCCCCACAAATATTCACACAATATTCTGCATATAACATCTGCCCTTGTTGGAAGTTTATAACTCAGAGAATATGTGCCGCTTGGAAAAGGAGGAAGGAAGGAAAGATGCTGCAGGTACGCGGAGTCGGGCTGCACAAAGCAAGGCCACAGAGCACCAGACAGTGCTCCCAATGTGTCCTTACCTGGCAAGGGCTGGCTGGGTTCCGCCTGCACTTTACCCTTCGCTGATCCTTCCAGAGGTAAACCTCTGTCCCCTTTGTAGAGTTTCGGTTTAAATGGAGAATCTTTCTCTTTACCTTTTGATCCTTTAGGCCGGCCTGCTTGCTTCTTCTTGGATTTGCCATCCCCCTTCACACCCAGTAGTGGATGGACTTCTGTAAAAGGACGAACAGGCATGGAAAGGAATCCATACACCACCAGTCCCCTCACCCCAACTGAGCACACGGCATGCCTCCTATTCATGAGAAAACAATGTTGTCCTTGTGTGCCAGATCCACTAATACAAGGAGAAAAATTTGCTTTATTATTTATAAAACTATATCAAGAATGGCCATTAACTGAGAAATAGTTGCTCGGCCAAAGGGCACACAGAGCCTACGTGGTTTGCACCAAGCCGCAGCAGCTCTAAACTGAAAAAGTAGCTGAAGGACACACTGACACTGCACACACCAAGGCAGAACAGGAATGCACACATCTACAAGGTCATGTGAGAACAGAGAAATGGGCTTTGGAATTAGAGACCAGGGCAAGAACGTTGACTCAACCACGTGATTATAAAGGCTTCCAGAGTCAGACTGTAAAAAGTATGTAGGAAGAAAGAAAAGATTGTTCAAGTCTGACTTGTACTTTACCACCTAATAAAATCTGGGGGGGGGGGGGGGAGTGCGACGGCGATGGGAATGGGGGCATAATGAAACAAACTCTGAGCCAGATGTCAGAAGACTTAGAGTGTGCCGTCATCTTAGGCAAAGTACTAAAGGCAGAATCTCCCCATTTTGAAAGAGAAGTGAAAACACATGAAATCATTACAAAGTTGTAAACCACCATAAAAAAGGCTCATAGGAAAATTCCTTTAAGGTAAAAATCCCCAAAGCAGGAAGTTACCGGAGTGTGCTGGAGAGTAAGAAGTGGCGTCTATCGGGCCGCAGAGAGAACATGCAGCTCTTACCATCATTTGGTACTCCTTGAAGTTCTATGTTGGTTGTTTTGGGTTTCTTCTTAGGTGGCTGGGACCCATCTGCTGACGACTGCCTCTTCTTCTCTGAACTAGCCCCTTCATCCATCAAGGAAGTTTGAACTGCATCCGGTGGGGGACCATAAGGATTTTCTTCTGGGTCTTCTACCTCAGGGGCAATGGGTAAATATAATAGAGCCTTTGAATCTTCCAACTCTTCATCACTATTTGGAACGAGATCAGACAAGGGATTGGAAAAAAGAGGAGACAGATGCTTAAACCAATAACCCTTCCTCTAGGACAGAATCACCTATATTAACCATAAGCAGTATGTATGGATCTAGAACTTTAAGAAAGCCAATATGAATTAAAGGAAATCAGATACATGATTAATAAAATCTGTAGTAAAATTAAATGGCATAAATGAATTATTTCAGTTTAAGATTTTCTATCAGGGAGAAAGCTGCTTGTACACCAAAGCAGCTAGGGAGAACTGAGAAGGGCCAGCCAGGGAAAACTGAGAAGTAAAACACTAGACGATGAGAGCAAGGAAGAGGAGGAGGAGGAGGAGGAGGACGAGGAGGACAAGGACAGGGAGGAGGAGGAGGAGAAGGAGGAAGAGGAGGAGCCTGAGGCCTAGCCCCCCCGCGGTGGCTCACCTGCTACAGAAGGCAGCAATTGGGTCCACACTGGTGACATCTACTTCCTCGTCCTCAGCAGCATCAGCCCCTGCAGGACAGATACACAGCAGAGGTGTGAAAAATGCCAAAGTTTTTACTTGTAGCTTAATGATTTTCATAAACTAAAATTCAGGAAAAACAAAGGAGAAGAACCGAACAGTTCATTTTACTTTATCATTCAACAAATATGTGCTAAATTTCCACCAGATGCTAGGCACTGGGACTACAGTGATACCAGAAATTTGGGAACAATTCTTCAGTAAAAGTTTCATAGTCTAAGTGGGATCATTTCAATCCAACACAGTAAGTGCTACAATAAAGGTATGTTCAATGTGCTAAGTAGATGAGAAGGAGGAACAACTTATGTTCAAGCTTGGGAAGGCTTCACAGAAGATAACCAGTAATACCAATACAGTCCAGCACATGCTGCATTCCCGGTGGTCCTCCTAAAACACATGAGGTGTAAGTTATCTAGTGTTACAGAATAGGGACCTGATTCCCAACACCATCAAGGTGATCTGTGGCATTAATTATTCACTGACAGTGCCAACTGGGCAGTCTAAGCATCCACACACTCAAACCCCTACTAGATATAAAGCCCTGTGTTAGACACCATGGGGATAAAGTTAAATCTTTATTCTCAAGTAGTTTTCTACCTAGAAGTTCAGAAGACAGATAAAAATATCAATGATCATGACCATAATAGAAACCAACATCTGAATGCCTGTCACACCTGGGCAATATATGGAGTGCTTCAGATGAACCATCTCATTTGTTCCCCACAACTCTAAAAGACAGGTTCTTTTCTTACTACTATTATACAAAGGAGGACATTCGGTTTTAAAGAGTAAGTATTTTTCCCAAGACAGCATGACTCCAGAGCCCGAACTCTTTACCTTCACCTTACTGACAAAGGAGTGACAATACATGATACAGCTGAGCACCCAGCATGTGTGGGAGCTTTGCTAAGTGCTGCAGGTAAATCCTCATTTAATCATCTGTAATTAATCAGGAAATACAAGCAAAATGTTAAGAGAGCTTCTGAATCCTAGGAATAATGCCCATGTCAATTAAAAAAAGGTGACATTTTAAACTAAGTGATGAAATAAATTTTCAACATAAATTAAAAATGAATACTAAATAAAGTAATCATTTCTCCTTTGAGAAATACTATCTACAATTGAGGAATATTACCTGTCTGCTCCGGCTCACTCTTATCTTCATCTTCAATATCAAACTCTGATTCCCTTTCCTCATATTCTACATTTTCATCCAGCTCTTTGAAGTCTGGGGCAAAGGCGCTCCAATTTTCCTATGCCACAAACAAAATATACTCTGTAACTGTCTGAGAAAGCAACAGTCTGTCATCTAGACATTAATAATATAAATGAAAGATCTGAACATGAAAGCAACTTAGAATTCTGAGATCAAATTTGGTGGATAATAAAAATCAGGTATCTATAGGTTTTACTATATTGAAGTATTTCCTACCTTAAACATTCCAAGTTATTATTAACTATAGTTTTCATAAAAAACTGCCATCTTTAATCTTTTTTTAAAAATATTTTTTATTTATTGATTTTAGAGAGAGAGGAAGGGAGAGGGAGACAGAAACATGGATGAGAGAGAACATCGACTGGCTGCCTCCTGCCTGTCCCCACTAGGATCGGGCCCACAACCTAGGCATGTGCTCTGACTGGGAATCGAACCGGAGACCTCTTGGTGCATGGGTCCATACTCAACCAGTGAGCCACACCAGCTGGGCCCACCTTTAATCTTTTTAGGATGTAATTCTGAGGTAAAACCAATTCCAATTCCCACTTTTCTTTTCTTTTCTTTTTTTTTATCCTCACCCGAGGACATTTTTTCGATATTTTGTTCAGATAGAGTGGGAGGAAGGGAGAGAGAGAGAGAGAAGAGAGAAACATCGACGTGAAGGGACACATCGAGTGGTTGCCACCCACACGACCAACCAGGGCGGGGGACAAACTGCAACCAAGGTACGTGACCTTAGTGGAAATCGAACCTGGGTTTCTCTGGACCACAAGCCGACACTCTAACTGCTGAGCCAAACCGGCCAGGGCCCCACTTTTCTTCATTGAAGCAATAATCCGAAATCCAAACCTCTGCCCCACACTTTCTCAGTGCAGTGCTGCCCAAAGCCGAAAAGATAAAATGACCAGAGATCTACACATTTTCTAGGCTGCTAATTAACCACTGTCCAAGGTGTTAACAAATAATGCTTTATAACCCAAAAAGTGCAACAAGGGAATTCTAGGGTACGACATCTTCAAATCTGATTAAGAGTACACTGATTACAAACATAATTAAAGGCGTTCAATATAAAACCAAGATATAAAACAGAAACAAACTGAACTGAATATAAGAAAAGCAAAAGAAAAATCTATCTCAGATAAGAAATAGGAAAATGTAACAGAAAGTCCACTAGACTTCTCACTAAAAACAACTGGTAAACTGGCTAGGGCCCAAGACTGTCCCATCAAAATAAAGCGCTCTGAACCTATTTAATTAGGTTACAAGAACCATATGCAAAATAAATAAATAAATAAACAAACAAATAAATAAATAAATAAATTTTTAGCTTACTATTTATACAATTTTGATAAAAAGAAAGGTTTCTAGTTTCAAAGTAATTAAACCAGAAAAATACTTACTACTTGATTTTGTGCCCAGATAGATACCACTCCACTAGAAATGGATGCTATGATGGGTCGAACAGGATGCCACTAAATTTAATGAAGGAAAGAAAAATCAGTTCTAAGAATGAATCCAAGGTTTTTCTGTATTACAGAAGTAACAGCAGCAACCCCTCATTCTACTCACAGCTACATCCAAGAGGAGTTCTCCTCTTGTGCCATGGAGAATCTTCACCAGGTTGCCTATGCTCTTCTCCCAGATGTATAGGGCATGCTGCCGGGCTGAACCTGCCACTATGTATTCTCCATCCCCAGAGAAACAACATTTCTTCCACGGGGTCCTAAAGGTCAAAGAAAGTAACTAAGAACTAGAACCTCAGCCCATGTCATAAATCACATATTCTTTTAGGTTGTCATACACACCTATTTACCAAGTCCTGTAATTTTTGCATAGGTTCAGGCTCTCCGTCTCTTCCACAGGTTAAGATTTCTCTGCCATCATAAACTCTGATTATTCGATCTGCTGTGTTAATTAAAAAGCAACTACAGAAGGAGAAAAATGTCAACACCAGAGGTCAGGAATCTGTTTCCATTAACATTTTCTATTACAACCTGTTACTTAGAACAGTACCATAAACTGGGGAGGGATTGAGTGAAGATCTAAGTAATGAACTTGAATACTTATGCATCTACTTGTCACCTTCCAAACTAAAATTTAATTTGAAGTGAAAATGTGTTATATACTTCCTGTGTATCCTTGAACCTTGTAAGTGAAAACTAACAAACTAATCATCAGTATTGACTGAGATCCAAGACCTATAAATTGAAACCAGCTTGCTGAATTCACAAGGATACAGTTAAATGTATATAGATACTTCGTTTCTCTGCCCTGTTTTATACATAATATATTCTTCTTAATGAGTTCATAAACCATTTCAATTTCAAATCTTCCTTTTTAAAATTGTAATAATATTAGAAATTTGTCAAAAATGTATTATTTCACACCTTCTCCCAGACTTCACTAACCTTTTCTTAAAATAAGAGAATTTTGAACATGAATGTTCCCTAAGCAGGGACGGGGGTTCCTATATGAAATAGGATGACTGTTAACCTCTTTTGTTTGACAATCTATTTCTTCTTTTTTCTGTTGATATATCTACTTCTAGCTGGGTAACCAAACTTACCTGAAAAACATCTGAAATTGAAGGAGTAAATGGGCTTTATGTGAGTAAAGTGTATGTTCAGCTAGTAAGTGAATTCTGCAACATATAATCCAATTATAAGAGTAGCTAACCACATGCCAGGCATCTGGTTCTAAGCACACCTCACTCAGATATCCTTCCTATAAAGGAACTGCCTGATAACCTCCAGATAATGATATGTAAATGCTGGTTCAATGTAATAAACTTTATGAAGTTAAGAACCTGACATTGACAGATTCTAATAACTACTTATTAAGTAAACTTTTAAAAATTTAAGTATAATATACAGAAAAAGTGTGAATCTTAATGTATTTTTGCATTCCATTCAATTTTAAAACTGTCCCTAAAAAGATAAGGTCTTACCTCCCCTTCCGGGCAAACTCTATTGACTTAATGGCTGTGGTATTGCTTGTTCCAGTTGTTACTCTGAAGGAAGCAACAAGATCCTGAGAATCTGTTTTTAGGACCAAAATCTAAAGTTAAAAAAAAAAAAAAGTAAAAAGTAAGTATTCTGATAACTTGAAATAATTAGATCTGGCTTCTGTTTCTAAAACTGGGTGAAAATATAAATATCTTTATTTCACTTAATTCTTAACAGGAGAGCTTTTATTAATTCAGATGGAATGAGGTTACATTATTGGAAGAAATAAAATAATTCTGTAAAATAAATAAATAAATAAATAAATATCTTTATTTTCATGTTTTCAACCTTATTAACTCGTATTGCCTTTTACCTCTTCAAATAAAGGGATTAGTGCCTTAATCTATTCTTAAAGTATAATGTTTAGTGTTATTCACAATAATCAAAAAGTGGAAGCAACCCAAGTATTCATCAATAGATGAATGAATAAACAAAATGTAGTATATACATACAAATGAAATATTATTCAGCCTTGAAAAGGAGAAAGTCTGGCACATGTTGAGAGCATGGATAAATCTTAAGAACATTATGCTAAATGAAATAAGCCAGTCACAAAAAGACAAATACTGTATAAGTCCACTTATGTGAGGTACCTAGAGTAGCCAAATTCATAAAGACAGAATGACAGTTGCCAAGGGCTGGGGGTACCAGGGTAGCAAGGAATAGGAAGTTACTGTTGAATGTTTTGCAAGATGAAAAGCATCCTAGAGATAGCTGGTGGTGATGGGTGCACAACAATGTGAATGTACTGAATACTAATTAATGTACATGTAATGGTTAAGGTGGTAAATTTTATGTTGTGTGTACTTTATATGTTTTTTACTACAATTTAAAAAATCATCACTTTCTAACATAGCCATTAAATTATACTAGTCCATGTGCCCCAGTCAAAAAAAAAAAATCAAGGTGCCTGACAGAACTACAAACTCTAGGCTTAAAAGAGACCTTAACATTCACCTAACATGACTTCTATTTTTAATTCTCACTCAAAGGTATTTTTTCCCATTGATTTTTTTTTTTAAGAGAGAGTGGAAGGGAGCGGGGAGGGAGGAAGACAGAGAAAGGGAGAGGGAGAGAGGCAGGGAGAGGGATAGAGAGAGATTGATGTGAGAGAGACATATTGATTGGTTGTCTCTAACATGCGCCCGGCAATCCAGGTACATGCCCTTGACTGGGAATCAAACCTGCAACCCTTCAGTGCACAGGCCAACGCTCTAACCACTGACCCACACCTGGCCAGGGCACCTATAACCTGACTTCTTACTCTACAAAACTGTAGGTTAAGCTGGCCTGAATTATACAATATTTACCTAACTAGGTATTTTCATCAGCAGTACTCCATTTTATATGACTTTTAAATTTTAAAATTTAGTAATGGTCCTTCATTAGTAGCATCCAGTAAAGCTCCTTCCATCTTTTTCTAGGCCACATAATCTCTGACCACTCTAAATCCAAAGAACAGACATTATTAAGCATGACACAAAAACAGGCTACCTTTGCCATGGGCAGGAGGCATGCTTCGTGTGGGTTTAAAAAAATGTCAAAGGAAATAGCACAAGTACACATGAAATGAGCAAAGCACAGGATGACTAAGGTGTATTTTGCTGGCTTCTAGGCTTACCTTGCCTTTTGCATTTCCTGTATAGATATATTCCCCTCGCCTATCAAAAGATGCAACCACGTTCAAGTCAGAGTCATCGTCTACCGGCAGAACAACATGTTTGGAATCTGAAAGGGTCAACATGACAGGAGCAGATTTCATGGGACACACGAGAACCTTGTTCCTGTTTAAAAATATGAATAGTACATTGGCTATTGCTTTGGTATCAGACGGTTGATTCCCTTGCCGTTCTCCTTGATCCCTGTACACTACCCTCACCGACTCTTCTGGCCCAAGCAAACTGAATATGGTGAAAAAGCTTAAAATCTAAACGTCTAATAATAGAGAAATGACTGAGTACAGTTATAAGATTCTACCATGACAAAATAAAATGTAATCACTAAAAATGAAAAGGTAGCGAACTACTAAAATATGTATGAAATAGAGTAAAAAACAAAATACTGATTAAAACCATAAAAATACATATTTATGTACATATAACATGCATATCCATGCTTTGTGAGCTATAAAGCATTATATAAGAACTTTTATACGTAAAGAGAACTTGACTAAGAGAGAACCAGAGAAATGCAGACAGTTACGTCTGCGTAATGGAATGATGAATAACTTTCCTAAATGTAGTTTTAATACTGAACGATTTCCCTTACTAAAGAAATTCAAATAATGGGGGGGAGGGGGGGCAGGTCAAAGACTAGTTATTATATTTATTCCTGCCTTTGCCCATTTCCCAAGTACAAATTTTGGCCAGCTTTTAACTACAGAATAACACTCTCTTTGAAGTCTATTTAGTAGAGCCAACCTAGACAGAAAGACCTTTCATGTGGAAGGTCTAAAGAAATGTGTGCACTTGCCTCCTAAAATCTTAAACTGAAATTGTCACGAGCCTGGAGCTAATCCGTATAGAATTAGACCCCACCCCAGGAAAGAGTAGCTCAGATTAAACATACTGATCTCGTGGATGATACTGGACTTTTAAGATGGGTGAAGGGAATCGAAACCTCTGGTCGCAGTCTCCTGAAAGAACATCCCACTGTGACACTATGTTATCAGTGGAAGCACTCACGAGCTTATGACCATCTCGACTCCAGCTGAGAAGAAAAAAGGGTAACTTAGCACAAAGTATATCATACCACTCTTATGGACAAAAATGCATGAGTCATACATACTGTCCTAATTGCATGGGTCAATAACATTTCTTTTTAAAAACATATACTCAAATCCACAACAGGCTTTCCCAACTAAGCAATAAGAATGTTTTCATGACATTTTCATATCTAGTAACAGAAGCTCCTAAAAATTCAAAATAACATTACAAGTGGCTCTGTAAAAGAACATACTCAAATATTTTAGTTTACAATCAGTGAGCCCTTAAGTATTAATGTAACAAAAAACAGTTTTTTTCCTTGGGGGTGGGAGGGAGTATCTGAGCTTTCCAATTACTCCTGAAGTAGCACCTTCAGAGCATAAACAAAGTAATAAAGATAAATATCTGTTACTTAGAATAATTAAGAAAGGAATTAATTCCTCCTGTTAACTACAGCTAACTATCCTGGACATTATATATATATAAACAAACAGAGAAAGACTCTGAAAGGCAGAGAGAAGACAACTGGCCAGAGACTGCAGGATAGGAGAAATGACACAATAGCTCCTTGGATGCTCTATTTGCCTCCTATGTGCCGGACGTCCAAGACCAGGTGATGGAGAAGCCAACAACACAGTAATACCAATGGACACACACACACAAAGGGTGAAGAGCCAGCTCTCTCTGGCTGAAGGACCAAGAAAGGACAAACCAGAGAGAGAAAAAACATTTAGACAATAATCACTCTACTTAAGCAACCACCATAGAATAAACTGAAACCCCAGTCAACAAGGTCTAAATAGAGCATCTAGACTTCCACTATTGCCTAGTTACAGCAAAGCACCCTTTCCCGCTAACTGGAGTCAGGGAAAGCTCAGTGGAGAGCCACTTTCATACCCACCAGTCAGTGATGAGGACCCTGCCGCAGAGGCACAAGGCACTTCTACCTTTCCCAGCCAGGACAGCATCACCCTGGAGGCCCAGTGGGGAGCCTGAATTTCCAACATAATTTAGCCAAATGAGGAACTTGGACTTCTAACCCATCTGGCAATAACAAGATGGTGCTTTCCCTTCCCTCGGGTGCAGTACCAGAGGAGCTCTGATAAAACACAGGATTTCTTACAACACAACACCCAAATGCCCAAGTTTCAAATAAAAAAGTTTCAACAGAACAAAGACAATTTCAACTTGAATGAGAAAAGACAATCAACAGATACTAACACTGTATCTTTGAGATGACAAAGACATCAGAATTATTTAAATGCAGCCATCATAAAAATGCTTCAATAAGTAATTGCAAATATGCTTGAAACAAATAAAAAAACAAAAAGTCTCAGCAAAGAAACAGAAGATACAGAGAAGAAGAACTGATATGGGAACCTTAGAATTGAAAATTATAATAACTAAAATAAAAAACTCAGAGAAGAATTCAGCAGCCAATGAAGAAGAAAGAGGAGCCCTGGCCAGTTTGGCTCAGCGGTTAGAGCGTCGGCCTGCGGTCCGGAGAGACCCGGGTTCGGTTCCCGCTAAGGGCACGTACTTCGGTTGCAGTTGGTCCCCGGCCCTGGTTGGTCGTGCGGGTGGCAGCCACTCGATGTGTCCCTTCACGTCGATGTCTCTCTCTCTCTCCCTTCCTCTCTCTCCCTCCCACTCTATCTGTACAAAAAATGGAAAAATATCCTCGGGTGAGGATAAAAAAAAAAAGAAGAAGAAAGAGGAGAGAATCGGTACATAGAATAAAATAAAAAATTTCCAATCTGAACAACAGGGAGAAAAAAGACTGGGAAAAAAAAAAAAAATAGAGCAGAGCCTCACAGACCTGTGGGACTGCAATGAAAGATCGAGAGCCGTTATCATCAGAGTCCTTGAAGGAGAGAAAAAAGAACGGGGCTGCAAAGTATTTTAAGAAATACTGACAGAAAATTTCCCAAACATGGCAAGATATAAAACCCACAGATTAAACCTCAAATTGGATGAGCACCAAGAAATTTACTCCAAGACACAGAGACAAACTTCTGAAAACTAAAAACAAAGATATCTTTTTTTTTTTCATTCAGCCAAAGAGATTTATTGGGGGTGGGGGTGAATTGCAACCCAGAATGTGCAGCTAAGGCCAGCCCGGTGGAGGTTTCTGTTCAAAGGACAATGGAGGAAGTCTAAAGAAAAAAAATCTTGAAAACATTGAGAAAAAACACCATACCTATGGAGTACGATTCACATGACAGCAGATTTCTCATCAGAAACCACAAAGGTCAAAATGAAGTGACATATCTTTCAAGGGCTGAAAGAAAAGAACTGTCAACCCAAATTCTACAACCAGTGACAATACACTTCAGGAACAAAGAGGTAAATCAAGACATTTGTCACTAGCAGACGTACCCTAAAAGAATAGCTTAAGGAAGCTCTCTAAACAGAAAAGAAATGATAAAGGAAGAAAGTTAGAACATCAGGAAGAACAATGAAAAGAGTAATAATATCAGTAAATGGATTTGACATATGAAGCAAAAATCACAATACTGTCTTATGTGGGTCTCAATGTATATGAAGGAAATATTTAAGACTATTTAATACAATTATATTATAAACAAAGGAGGGTAGCCCTGGCCGGTTTGGCTCAGCGGTTCGAGTGTTGGCCCAAAGACTGAAGGGTCTTGGGTTCGATTCCCAATCAAGGACACATACCTGGGTTGCAGGTTCGATCTCCAGCCTTGGTCAGGGTCCTGTGGGAGGCAACCAATTGATGTGTCTCTCTTACACTGATGTTTCTCTCTCTCTCCCTTCCACTCTCTCTAAAAATCAATGGAAAAATATCCTTGGGTGAGGATGAACAAAAAGCAAAAACAAAGGAGGGCAAAAGGAGGTAAAGTTTCTTACACTTCACTTGAACTGGTAAAATGTCAGTAGATGGTGATACGTTTTGTATATGCAATATAATACCTAGAAACTACTAAAAAACTAGAGATATCCTAAAAAATACTACAGATGGCCCTGGCTGGTTTGGCTCAGCGGTTAGAGCGTTGGCCCACGGTCCGGAGAGACCCAGGTCCGGTTCCCGCTGAGGGCACGTACCTCGGTTGCAGTTTGTCCCGGCCCTGGTTGGGTTGTGCGGGTGGCAGCCACTTGATGTGTCCCTTTCACGTCAATGTTTCTCTCTCTCTCTCCCTCTCTTTCCTCCCACTCTATCTGAACAAAAAAAATGGAAAAATGTCCTCCGGTGAGGATAAAAAAAAAAAAAACTACAGATGAATCAAAATGGAATTCTAAAATGTGTTCAAGAAACCCACAGGAAGGCAGGAAAAATAAAACAGAGAACTTAAAAACAGAAAAAACAAACAAACCCAAACCAGCATTTATCCAAATTTTGCAACAAAGGAGGAAGAGTTGCTATTGAAGACTTAGCAGGCAATATACCTCCGAGGTTAAGAACATAGGCTCAAGAGTCAGACATGCCTGGACATTACCACTGTCCAGCTGTTTGATCTTTGGCAAGTTACATAACCTTTCAATATAACTTCAATTTCCTCACCTATAACATGGGAACAATAATAGTTATACCCACAGAAGACTGTTGAGAGAATTTAAATTAGTACATATAAAACTCTTAGTCCAATGCTTCACATAAGAATGAGGGTTCAAAAACCATTAGCAATTCTTTATATCAGTGAGAAGATAAATGTATCCCCAGACTCAGGACCCGAGGGACAGAAGAAGGCAGGGCAAAATGAAGAAGTGAATATAGAGGGATTAAGTTCAAGCCTGCATACAAAAGGACCCTGGCACCTCTTCCACCAGCTCTAGCACACTTAGTCATGCTTACCCCTGAGAATGCAATTTGAGGCTCCTTCTAGAGAATGTGAATTTTAAAAAGAAGAGGCCTACAGCCCTGGCAGGTATGCTCAGTGGTTAGAGCATCGGCCCATGCACCAAAGGGTCACAAGTGCCATTCCCAGTCATGGGCATGTACCTGGGTTGCAAGTTCAATCCTTGGCCCAGTCAGGGCTCATGTGTGAGGCAACTAATCAATGTGTCTTTCACATTGATGTTTCACTCTCTCTCTCTGTCCCCCTCCCTCCCTGCCACTCTCTCTAAAAATCAGTGGAAAAAGTATCCTCAGATGAGGATTAACAAAAAGAAAAAAAGAAGAGGCCTACAGATGCTGTAACTGTTAAAGGTTCACAACAAAAAAGCCAGCGGCCACCTAATTTCAGTAGGTGATGGGAAGGTAAGAGGGTGAGCTAAATGCACATACACTGTAAAAGAAAGTTCATGGGTAATTTCTAAAATTAACAAACCAGGAAAAAGTGACATATACATGTTATTTAGAAATATGAAAATATCAGAAAAAATACAAGTCCTTTAGGAGTGAAACAATACTGGGAGTAGGGAGAAACAACGGACAGTTTTGTTGCTGTTCTTGTAAGCGTTTTGGCACAATTTTACCATAGAATAGAATGTTAGCTATGATTCCATTTATTTATTTATTTATTTATTTATTTAAACACTTCTGTATTATATCTTTTGTCTTCACAGCAAGACTGTATTTCTGTTATAACAAAGAGAAATGTCATTTTAAAAATTAAATTATAAACAGAGGTAAAAACTGAGAGGTTCTCCCTTTAATAATAACAATTCTTTTCCTTTTTTTTTTTTTTTTTAATGTTTTTATTGATTTTAGAGAGAGGAAGGGAAAAGGGGAGAGAGAGAAACATCGATCATTTGGCCGGGGATCAAACCCACAACCCGGGCACGTGCCCCGACTGGGAACCAAACCGGTGACCTTTCAGTGCACAGGACGACACTCAACCAACTGACCACACTGGCTGGGGCAATAATAATAATTCTTCAATTCCAAATCCATAAGCTCAAGAATTATCCCCTGGCTCTGTAGCTTCAGTTGGTTAGAGCATGGTCCCAATGTGGCAAGCTGTGGGTCTGATACCCAGTCAGGACACATGTAAGAATCAACCAATGAATGCAACAACAAATCAATGTTTCTCTCTCTCTCGCTTGCTGAAAATAAATTTAAAAAGAAAAAAAAAAAGAATTAGGGATTATTATACTTTCTCACATCTGACAATTTTATTTCTTTCCAAAAGACAGATGAGTCTTTACTAAGTCTAATGTCTCAGAGTTTAAAGATCATTTAGTTCTTCTACCTATGACCCCCATCTACTGTTGAATTTCTTCTGTAGCATGCCCAAGAAGAGGGCAGCAAGCCCAAGCAGGGATAGTCCCAATGACAAATTCTTTCCTGAGCAATCCATCCCATCCACGGCCACCTCTGCTTGGGAGTTCTTCTCCACTCTAAGCTAACATGTTCCCCCTATAACTTCTGTCTGTTAGCCACTAGTCCTGCTTCTACTCCTTGCGCCAATTTTTCTGTCCTGTATGTGTCAACTCTTTAGTAGTTGAAGACAGCTATCATGCCTACCCAAAACTTTTCTTGGTGAAACTTTCTTAGTCCCTAATATGTTCAAATATTACCCAACAAGTAAAATAATAGATAAAGATACATTCTAAATGAGTCTGAATAAAAAAATACACAAAATGTGTCTAACTACCAACTATAACTATAATATATAAATATACTTATATATACCATAACTTAGGGAAAAGTTAATTATGATGTATATGTGCTATGTAATACTTACTACACACACACGCACACATGTATATACTCCACTAAATCTCAAATACAATTCTTATATAGGACCTATAAAGCTTTAGTACATGTACCTATATGAACATGCACCTCCCCCTACTAATCAAGTTGTCATTTGTTTTTATTTATTTATTTATTTATCTTCACCCGAGGACATTTTTTGCCTTTATCTTCAGATAGAGCAGGAGGGAGAGAGAAAGAGAGAAACATCGATGTGAGAGAGACACATCGACTGGTTGCCACCCACACAACCCCAACCGGGGCAGGGGACAAACTGCAACCGAGGTACGTGCCCTTAGCAGGAACCAAACCCGGACCACTGTGGTCCGCAGGTCGAAGCTCTAACCGCTGAGCCAAACTGGCCAGGGCAAGTTGTCATTTGTTTTGTGTGCCCAATGCCTATAGTACCTAGGACACAATTCATATTCACTATTTACCGAATGAATGAATATATGAGAGAAAAACTTTATGCACAAAGACATTCACTAAACATGAAGCAGAGAAACAAACAGAAATAGCTAAATAAATTATGGTTTATCTTTCAGAAGATATAGAGTGGGGGGCAAAAGTAGGTTTATACTTGTGAGCACACAAAACAGTTTATTCTTGTTAATCATTGTATTATTTTCCATACAAAACTATAAACCTACTTTTGCCCACCACTGTATAGCCATTAAAAAAGTTTTTAAAGGCTATTCAAGCAGAAAAATATTTGGACAGTGTTAGGAAGGAAAAAAGCCAAATATAAAACAGAATACAGCACAACTACAAACTTTGCTTTTCAAAAACTATATATAGAAACCTATAAAAATTTTATAGTAGTAACACCTGGGTGATTGAACTACGGGAGATAATAGTTCTTTCTGTTTTTATTTTATAGCTTATAATCCTCATCTGAGGATATGTTTATTGATTTTAGAGGGGGGGAAGAAGAGAGACAGGGGGAGACCGAGGGAGGGAGAGGGAGGGGAAGGGGAAGGAGGAAGGGAGGGAGGGAGAGAGAGAGAGAGAAACATCAATTCAAGAGAAACAGTGATCAGATGTGCCCCAACCAGGGACTGAACCAACCTAGGTATATTCCCTGACTGGGAAACGAACCAGCAACCTTTTGGTGTATGGGACAATGCTCCAACCAACTGAACTACCCAGCTGGGCAACAGTGATTCTTTCTACTTTGTTGTATTTTCCATAATTTTATAAATGATTCTATATTAGTTTCTAATAAAACTATATTTAATAGGTAGGAGTTCTAAAATTAGATTGTGAATTATAATATTTTAATAAAGTTGTTAAGAATGTATGTATCTACATCTTTATTGTAAAAGCACAACAATAAAAAAAGAAATGAAAAGTAAAGGAGCTGAGGGTTATAAGAGATCACCCAGGCTGGTGTTCTCATTTTGTGTATTAGAGAAAAGTTTTGGCCAGAACCACCAGTTCATTAGTGGCCAAACCTAGACTGGGGTTCAGGCCTCCTCCCAATCCAGTGCTTTACAATACTTCTGCTGCTTCTATTTAGACAAAAGAAAATAGGTTACAGTTTAGTAAATCTAGATTTAGATTTGATTAGGTGCTTTTTAAAAAATATGTTTTTATTGTTTGTTGTTATTTTTTAGAAAAAGAGAGAAAGGGAGAGACAGAAATATCAATGTGAGAGAGAAACATCGATCAGCTATGTCCTACACACCCGCAGTGGGGAATCGAGCCCGAAACCTGGGCATGTGCCCTGACCTGAGAGGGATCTCTCAGTCCATGGATGACGCTCAGTCCACTGAGCCACACCAACCAGGCGATTAGGTGCATTTTTTTCTCTCTTTTTTTTGGCACCAAGTTCTCTTAAAAGAAGTGTTGCCCCAAAAATAAAATTTTCTGAACTAAACAGTCATCTCAGAGAGTAAGAAAGAAATCAGCGGGAATTTATATTAAACCAGAGTTCAACTCAAATACCTGATGGAAAGCCTTAATAACCATATAGTGCAATGAAGAAATGGACAGGCTTGTGATCAATAAAAATGATGGAATTCAAGAGCTTAGACAGGCTTCTCTCCTAACCAAGATTTTTTCTTTTAAATAAAATTTCATTATCACACATAATATTACAGCTACAATCAGTAAATAACTCTTTTCAGTATCAGACAGAGCCTGATATAGATTCATATATTACACTAAATTTTTCATCACAAAGGAGCTTGAAGGACAGAGAGCATGGGTTCAAGATCTACATAAACTATGAGCAATTATATTACCAATGGCTGGATATTTCATACTCTAAATATTAAAATATCTATAATGATGTTGCCAATTACAGTCACCATTCATCCCCCTACTTTAACTCATATTAAACACATTAGTATTAAAATTCCTTACCATAAAGAACAGACTGGATGAATATGTGCACTAATTATTTTAGCAATGCCTCTCGTCAAAAAATCCCAGATGACAATTCGGCCATCATTACAGCCAACTGCAAGCAGTGTGCCCCACCTGTTAAAGGTGCAAGTCAGGGCCATGCTGATACAATCCAAAGTTCCATCAGCTTCCTAAAAATTAAAATCAACATAAGAACACAGAAAATAATGCCCAAGTATCCAAGTTATTTTTTAAAGGTTCTCTACTATCTATGATACTTCTCTTTGATTTAAATCATGATATACACCAAAAATCTCTATGTACGTTCTTATACCTATTAAACAAGTCAAAATGAAGAAGTATTTATAAAAGCTGAGAGAATTTTTTGAAACAGATGTGATCAATCCCTTATATTTCCACTATAACTTTGTACACATACTCTGGAGAAGTAGGCCAAATATAACAAGATTCAATAAAAGAGTCATCCTACTGACCCAGTATTCACACTTTTTGGAATTTATCCCAAGAAAAATAATTTAAAATAAAAAACCTAGAACAGCCTGTATGTGTAATATTACAAAAGCCAAATAAATTATTTAAATTACTATTAAGCCATTTAAACTAATTATAATTACACTGAAATGTATTCCAAGTATTACACAAAATACTTTTACCTTAAAAAATAAAACACACTTATAATATACATACTAATTTATTACTATGTAAAAGCATTGATCAAAACTAGAAAAAAATCCATATACGGGTGATGGTGCTGTTTGTGATACTGTAATCAAAGTATATTTTTTAATTTAAAGGGAAATAAACTATAAGATTTACATTATGGTGAGATTTCCAGCCAATACTGCCTATTTGCACCCAGCCCCCGCATCAAAAGTGAACATTTAATTCCTTATTATAGCAAAAGATGTATCATCACATTCAATGCTTCTGTTGTCAAAAAATTTAAAACATATATCAAAATGAATTTTCCACTCAAATACAAAGGCTAGTGAGTTATGTTCCTAAAATCACAACAACACTATATTCTTACCTCTGGATAATTCTGCCCAAAGGACTCTGCAACAAAGCAAAGAAAAAAGTTGATGGAACATGTGTAACATACCAGGGGTCCTACAGCTCATGAATGGTGTATAGCCATGATCTGCAAAGGGAGGTGGGAAACTTAAGTCCTTTCCTATTTTCATTATCATTCCAATATGGTACTTGCCTCTTTATTTTCATTATCTCATAAGTTTATAGATGAGTTCTCCTGAGGCTATATGACAGGCTATTGCAACAGAGTGAATGCAGAAGCAAAGGTAAAAATTCTGCAAACTTCTATTTAGGCAAACTTTACAGAAATTTGTAAAAATGTAAAACAATGCCACTCTTCTCATTAATTTCTTTTTGTTTTAAAAAAGTTATTTTTCATAAAAGTGTTATTTATTTAAACATGTGGTGACATTATTATGGTTATTTTTAAGTAACAAACTTTTAAAAATCAAGTCAGTCAAATTATCCCAACTCTTCTCTAAAACCTTTATTAAAAGCAGCCAACCAGCAGCAATCATTCCCCTTATTAATAATAGCATTTAGGTTGTAATATAATCTGGCAGTTGGTTAAACATACAAGTCTCTACATCTTTTTTTTTTTTTTAATCTTCACTCGAGGACATTTTTCCAGTTTTTATTCAGATAGGGCGGGAAGGGGAGAGAAGAAGAGAGACAGAGAAACATCGATGTGAAAGGGACACATCGAGTGGCCGCCACCCACACAACCCAACCCGGGCCAGGGCCAAACTGCAGCCAAGGTACATGCCCTTAGTGGGAACCGAACCTGGGTCTCTGTGGACCGCAGGCTGACGCTCTAACCGCTGAGCAAACCGGCCAGGGCAAGTCTCTACTTCTTAAGCAAACAATATTTTGGTACAAAAATCCCTGAATGCTTTTCCTATATTAAGTTTGGTATTTATACATTAGCAGTAATACACATTTCAAGTTATAGATATGAAACCACCTGCTTGTCAAAAGTTTAATTTCAGCAGCAGCACCATCTTTGTCAGTATTTACTTATAAATACTTTATAATAAAGATTTTATTACAATGGTTTTTAAACTATACTCTGAGAACTACAGGTCCAAGAAAGTTGTTTTATATATAGGGCATCCAAATAAGATCTCATTTGAAAAAGAAATCATCTGCTTTAAAAAAAAAAATCTAGTCCTGGCCAGTGTGGCTCAGTTGCTTGAGTGTCATCCTGTGCACCAAAAAGGCCGCCAATTCAATTCCCAGTCAGGGCAAATGCCCAGGGCAAATGCCCAGGTTTCAGGTTCGGTTCCCGGTCAGGGTTTGTGTGTGCAGGAGGCAACCCAATTGCTGTTTCCCTTTCACATCGATGTTTCTCTCTGTTTCTCTCTCTCTCTTTCTCTCGCCCTCTTAAAAAAAAAGTATGAAAACCACTTTTATTACATTTTGTCCTTTAAAAAAAATTAATAGAAAACTGAAGAATGAAATAATGAAAACATCAAAAAAAAAAACACAGGCCCTATAGTTAAGAAAACTAAAAAAGAAAGACAAAACTCAATGTAACCTATTGTCAACAGGGGTAATTATCTTGATTTATCAAATGTGCACCAGACTTATGGTGACTGATTGCATTCAAAAGAAAAGAATGAAGTGAAATGCTGAAACCAAATCAAGATATAACCCATATTATTTATTATGTGACATGCACCTTTAACAATATATCCTATGTATCTTTCAAAATCGATACAACTCTTTATTCACATGGTTGAGAAACAAACAAAAAGGAGTATTTATTTAAAAATTAAAAACAGCCTTGGCCAGTTTTGCTCAGTGGTTGGAGCGGCGGTCTATGGTCCAGAGAGACTCGGGTTTAGTTCCCGCTAAGGGCACGTACCTCAGTTGCAGTTTGTCCCCGGCCCTGGTTGGGTAATGCTGGTGGCAACCACTTGATGTGTCCCTTTCACGTCAATGTTTGTCTCTCTCTCTCTCCCTCTCCACTCTATCTGAACAAAATATGGGAAAATGTCCTCAGGTGAGGATAGAAAAACAACAACAAACAAATTAAAAAACACAACCTAAAAATATAAAGTACTGAGGAAAGAACAGAGTGTAACTTGTGCTGTGTTGGGAGAAGGGGAAGCCACACACAAGATTGTGAAAGAATCCAGAATCCAGGGACCATTTTAATGCATAATTACCCCTCAACAAAGGTTACCTCTGATTTTGTATTTTTGTTTTATGTTTGGGGTTGGGTTTTTTAGTTTTCTTTCTTTTTTTTGAGGTTCATCCTGGTTAGCAGGGTTATAATAAGGAATTTAAAGGAACATAAAGAGAAAATGACGTATAAAAAGACTAAGCTAGGTTGGGACGCTTTGGTTGAAGGGCATGAGCAAGGATGCTGTCAAGCAGGGTCACGGGAGCACAAGGCCATTTCCTCAGAATGCTCATGACCACTTTTACCTTCTCCATCCTCCCACCATCTACCATTTTGTGTTATAATTACATTACCGAGGCTTGACTGTGAAGACCATTAGGAGAAAAAAAGATGTGAATGCCAAAAAGAAATAAACCCTGGTCAAAGAGATTTAACTTCGTAATATACTTGATAATTCAAAAAACATGAATGACTTTTAAAGCAAAATACACATTTCTAAAACTGATTACAGAAGAAAAATCCTTCACTGGACCAATAGTTGAAGGCAATTTCTCTTCTCAAATCCCAAGCAGCAGATACTGTTATTCAAGTTCTTTCTTTTTTAGAAACATCATTATTTTAATTTTTATTGATTTTCTTTTTTGAGAGAGAAAGGGAGGGAGGGAGAGAGAAACATCGATAGGCTGCCTCCCGCACACACCCCAACTGGGAATCGAACCCGCAATCTGGGTATATGCCCTGACCAGGAATCGAGCTCACCACCTTTCAGTGTATGGGATGACACTCCAACCAACTGAGCCACACCAGCAAGTGCTCAAGCTATTTCTGAGCAGAAAAAAATATACAAATATGGATAAATTACACTAATTCTCTTAGAAAATTTTTCATTGGTATTACTAAGTGAATAAAAAAGCAAAACACAGTGTACATAATAGCTCATTTTTTGTTACTTTGTATATATGCAAACACAAGTAAAGGTGTGGGAAAATATGGAAAGAGACACATGGGATTATCAACAAAAGGGAGGAAGCAAGGAAAAAAACACTTTAAAAAAGCATTCATACCCAAAACATTATTTTGAAAGAATATATGCACCTTTATGTTCATTACAGCGTTATTTACAATAGCCAAGATTTGGAAGCAGCCCAAATGTCCACCAGTAGATGAGTGGATAAACAGCTATAATACATTACATAATGAAATACTATTCGGCCATTAAAAAGGAAGAAAATTTTACCCTTTGCGACAGCATGGATGGACCTGGAAAACATTGTGCTAAGTGAAATAAGCCAGTAAGAGACAAGTACCATATGATTTCACTCATGTGAAATTTAATGAACTGAACTAACACACAAAACAAGACAGATTCATAGATAGAAAGCAGGCTGACAGCTCTGGTTGGGGGGTGTTGGGAGGTGTGAAGGGATTGAACAAAAAAGGAAAAGAGGAGGAAGAACTCATGGACACGAACAAGTGTGGTGACTGGAGGGGAGAGAGAGTGGGGGGAGGTAGAAGAGGGTATGGGGGGATAAATATGATGGGAAAAAAATAAAAAAAAAAGCATTCATAGTTAAAACTATACATTATGAGTGTATAGACATGAACACATTAAAAATTGTTAGATCTATTATCTCCTAATGTGTAGGAATAGTACCTTTACAGTGTTAATGAAGAAAGCAAGTTGCAAGTAATGTATATAAAAAGGTTCGATATCTGGAAAAAGCACAAACAAATCCCTTACACATTTGTTTAAATGTGTTTATATGAGCAAGAAAAAGGGTATAAAAGGATAAACCCCAGTTACCATTTGGAGAAGGAGAGAAAGATAATTTTTCTGTATGCATATTTGTATTATTTCCATTGTTGTGATAAATATGTACTATATTTAATCTGAAAAGCATGAAATTAAAGAACCTCAATGAGCTTTATAGACTTAACTCCCACTGGCTCATCATTTCTTCGAAGTGCTCAAACCTGCATTTACCATTAGCAGCTACCGCTTACTGAATGTTCATGTGTCAGACTCTGTACCAAGGCCTTCTTATATTATCTCCCTCAATCCTCTCAATTCACTTTCAAGTAAGGAGTACTTTTAAATTCCATTTCATAGATGAAGAAAGTTAGGCTTAAAGACTAAGTTGTTACCCAAGTTCACAGTTACAAACTGGCAAAGTTGGGACCTGACCCATAAATCATACCATTTTGCACAAATTTGACCTCAAGGTTACTAGTCTATGATTTGCAAAACACACCTGTCCTTTATTGAGTGTCAGATTTTGCCCATCTCTTTTTTTTTTTTTCAGCATGTCTTCCTTTCTCTCCCCAAATTTCAAAGATCACCAACCTTTACTTCCCATGCAAGCTCCTCCAGGGCCAAGGAATGTAATTCGACCAAGAGAAGTCAGCTAAGTGACCTACCTAAAATCTCTACCTACTGAGGGCTTTTCTTGACAAGAAATGTTCACTTTATTTGTTCCAAAAAGTCATCCTTTTCCCCAGAAAAGGCAAAAGAAAAAGAAGTTAAGTATTCCACTTCCCCTTTGCCTATTAAGTCCACACTAGGCACACAAAAGATATTTGTGGAGTGATGAATGAATAATTTTAGAATTACATCATCTAGCCCAACCAAGCAGAAACTTTACTCTTCACTTTCCACATAATGTTAAACCCTTTCCAGTTGCTTCATTTTTTTTTTTTTTTACCATCTTGGCCTTCAATCACATTAGATTTCCTGACACTATTCTTAAAAACCTGTACCACTCCCCTATGTTCACCTTCAGCTATGTGCCCTTCTTGTACATCAGGTTCTTAAATAATGTCCTTTCATTGCAACACTGATGAGATGCTGCTGTAGGAACTAAACTTATGATAGCAATTAGCCCATTATACTACATCATTTTGCTTAAAGTCACCTACCAACATTAGGTGAGGACTCACTATCCATGCCTTTTCAGAATCTGAGTTTAGACGGCTTTCAGTGCAAACACACCAGTTTCTTCAGGTGCCTTCTCCTTTCTTTCCTATTCGGATCCTTTCTTCAAACTGCCTTTTAGCTTTCCAGGTCTTTCAGGCCTTTCTCCTCCCAGTCTCATGATGTGAAATAATGTCTATTCTTTAAATTGCTGAACATACCCTCCTTAAAGACTTGATTATCATGACCTCTAAAATTTCATGGACCTTTTCTCCCAATGGTCCTATTATTTCCTACTTGCTAACCAATCCCTCCCTATTGTAACAGCTCCAGAGTAGCAGTTTCCATTCTGCCCCTTCAATCTAACAAGTGATGGATGACAGACCTGGTTGCATTTCTTTTAGAGAAAGGCAACCTGCATGTGTTTAGATAACTGACCCCACCCCACGCACCCCAATCCAATGCCATCAATACCATAATTATTACCATAATTTCATCGGCTCCAGTCTTACCTCCCTCAACACTTCACAAAGTAAAGTTGTCACAGCCAACTTTCTAAACTCCAAATCTCATTTCACTTACCTGCTAAAAAATCTCCCTTGCTGAACAATATACTAAACCCCTAAGTATAATTTTAAAAAGCAATTTCAATCTGTCCTCAACCATTTTTTTCTAATTTATCTTTGGCTAACTTCCATCAGCATCTAGAATAGAACCTTGTATAACCTACCCCAAGCACCAGCTATTAAGCTACTAACCATTTCCTTAACATACCACACACATTTTACCCCTACTGGTCTTTGCACTGGTAATTACCTGTCCAACTGGTCCCTCTGGAAAAATACCACTTTGCCTTTACTGTCTGCGTTAAATGGCACTTCCTCTGAAAAATCATCCCCAAATTTTATTGCCAACCCCAACAATACAGTATTAATTTGCTCTTTCAGCTGCTTCCGTATTATACACAGTTATCTGCTCATGTCTCTCTCCTCCTAGTTCTATGTATTTAACCAGGGCAAAGGCTGTATCTTATTTCAATGTTTTTCAAACAGCAGGACCCAATCCACCATAAATGGATAAATCAATTCAGTTAGCCACAAGTTTTTAAATAGATTAGAAGATACCAGAGGACACTTAGCATAACAAGGATTAAGTGTAATTTTGAAAAACCTAGTTATATATGTAAGTATATATAATGGGTTGGGATAGAAAATATCTGTTTATTGCGAGTTGTGGGAAAAGTGAGTTTGAAAAACTCTTACATAATTTTTTATCTCCAGTCATACTGCCTGACTCACTGCAAAGGCTCAAAGAGTGGTTGCAGTCCTGGCTGGTTTGGCCCAGCGGTTAGAGCGTCAGCCCACAGACCAGAGAGTCCGTTCCCGCTAAGGACACGTACCTCGGTTGCAGTTTGCAGGGAGCCCTGGTTGGGGTTGTGTGGGTGGCAACCACTCGATGTGTCTCTCTCACATTGATATTTCTCTCTCTCTCTTCCTCCCTCTCTCCCTCCCCGCTCTATCTGAAAATAAATGCAAAAATCCTCGGGTGAGAATAAAAAAAAAAAAAAAGCGGTTGCAGATTTAGTATCTTGAATGTCCACATTAAGAAATTATCATTAGCCCTGGCTGGTTTGGCTCAGCAGTTAAAGTGGCGACCTGAGGTCCAGAGAGACCAGGATTCGGTTCCTGCTAAGGGCACGCACCTCGGTTGCAGTTTGTCGCTGGCCCTGGTCGGGTCGTGCAAGAGGTAGCCACTCGATGTGTCCCTTTCACATCAATGTTTCTCTCTCTCTCTCTCTTCCTCTCTCTCCCGCCCTCCCTATCTGAACAAAAAATGGAAAAATGTCCTTGGGTGAGGATAAAAAAAATAAAGAAAGAAAGAAATTATAACTAAAGGGGGACATCTGTAATACTTTCAATAAAAAAAAGAAAAGAACGCATTATCATTCATTTCCTTTATCTGGCCAGATATCCTTTAGTATGCTTCCACAATCATCACTTCTGCTCCTCTCTTTCTTCTCTGTAATCACTAACTTTCCTACTTTAAAACTCAAAGTCACTTCCATGGAGATGTTTATCTTTTGGACTAAGCCTTCTTTTAAACTGCCTAATCTTTCAATACTAAATACTTCTTCCTAAATTTCATCCTCATGACTTTTCTGTATAATTTATAAAAACAAAAAAATCTTTTCTCTGACTCTACTCTCTTTGAAAGTACTAGCTTATCATCTTTCCTCTACTTTCATTTTTAAAACTAAGGGTCAACTCTTTCCCTCCATTTTGTCTCCCACGCCTTCCTAGAATCACTGTAATTTGGTTTGTGCTCAAATTGCTGAGGGGGCCCTAAGCTGTCTAAGGACTAAATAGAGCAGCCCTTTCCCAGCTTCCAGACTCAAATGCTCTACAACTGGCTTCTATGGAAGACACCGCAGAACTTACCAGCCTGTAAATTCTCCTTTCTCAACCTGAATAAATATATGGAAGCATGAAAAAATATGTCCAGTTCATAGTAAGTACTATATAACTAGTATTTAATGTATTATTGTCATTTATTCCTTTTGTCCACTAAATACAGGTAATTGTCCAAGAGTCTGTCCTCAGTTTTCTTTTCTGCCCCTCCCACTTTCTCCCTTGGTCTCACCTACTCGGAATGTTTCAATTAGTCCACCTGTAGGAGGATTACAAATCCCTCCCATAAATCCAAAATTTCTATCTCCTGAATCCACACTCAACATACAAAATGCTGTCTTTTACCAATATCTTTAAATGTTTATCAGTAATACCACTATTGACTCCCATGATTTTGCACTTCAGTCCCTTCCTCCCCTCAGGCATCATATGCAATCGATTCACAAATTCTTTCAACTCTACCTCCTTGACGTCTTTTCTTTTTATTTCCTAGCTCAGGCTTTCTATATCACTCATCTACTCTAGCCCTGCAAACTGGTTTTACACCCTCCAAGACAATGTTGTCAGATAAATCTTAAAAAAAAAAAAATCCAGCCTGGCTGATGTGGCTCAGTCGATTGAGCATCATCACATGGACCGAGAAGTCCCTGTTCGATTCCCCGGTCAGGTCACAAACCAGAGTTGTGGGCTCAACCCCCAGTGGGGTGCATGCAGGAGGCAGCCTATCAATGTATCTCTCTCACATCAATGTTTCTATCTCTCTCTCTAAAAATCCAATAAAAACATATTTTTTTTAAAAAAAAGGAAATCCACAGCTCTGATTTAGTTACCTACCAGGTAAAAACACTTCAATGGCTCTGCCATACTTTCCTTGAAAAGCACACCCTTTCCAGCTAGGCATGCAAGAGTGTCCACAAAACTGACAGCACCAACCCCATCTCTTGACCTTCTCTTTATTCACAGTACCCACACCCTGGCCAAGCAGGTCAGTTCTTTAGGTCCTCTCTCCCTGATGTCTTATATCAAACATATTCCTAGTAAGCACTCCTCCCCATATCAACATACTACAGTCTGTCAGTATTTTACCAATCTTAAACGTCCACTCAAAACTCCAACTCCTCCACAGGCTTTTTGTTCCTAGTTACCATTCTTCCCCTGCCCCAAAGATATTCATTCCCTCTTCTAAATGTTCTTAGCTCTTTGTAATGACTCTTAAAGGCCTTCCTGTGTTCTGCAATACGTTATGGCTATTTACATAATCATTAATCTTTCTGCATAACAAAAAGTTCCTTAATGGTAAAGACCATTTCTTAAATATCTTTGTAGCCCTTTGTACAACCAAAAACACCTTCTGGATTTTTGTGTGTGTGTTTTTTTTTAAGAGAAACATAACCATTAAAAACAGCAAATCGTTTAGGAGTTCTGGAAAACCTCAGACATCCCTAGGCTACCGTGCTAAACACCCAGAAGAAAGACCCTACAGTTTTTAATCAACTTGGGTAACGGGTAGGGAGGAAATGACTCAAAGAGAGGGTAGTAAAAGGCAACTATTTCTGCAGTTCACACCTCAGTGTTTTACACACCATCCCTGGTAGTTACAGAGCTTAAACAGGCAGTCAAGAAAACTGGATTCCAGTGCCAACGATGCCATTTACTTATTTAGTGTCTTCAAGTCACTACCTTCTGAACTGCTTTTCATTTGTTCAGTGAGGGACTTCAACTAGACCTTGAAGTTCCCCTCCTTAGTTATCCCGTATTTCTACCAAAAACAAAAAGATTTAACCTCTCCAGACACCCAAATCCCTGACAAGTCTGCAAAGCTTCACCTGAAGTCCAACTTCCTCAGATTCCTTCTTCTCCAGTAACTCTGGTCCTGCCTGTTCTGGGCTACTTCAGCACCTGTGATCCTTGTCATCAAAACTAAGTCACAGAGTGTCCAGATCACTCCAAAACTAGTTAGAAAGTAGCCTCGGAAAGGCAATGCATTCTGCTTGGGCAGAAGCTGGGCTTCCCCTCCTGCTGCTGGTGCTGCACATCCAGAGCGCTCAGTGATCCACAGCAGAACTAGGTACCTGATGTTGCAGCCTGAATCCCCTCCCGCCCGGGTTCCCTCTTTTCCAGGACCAAAGGGTTCTCCAAGACGCAGCCATAGCCCTCCTTACCGAGCAACTCGAGGTTCATCCCTGAGAACTGTGGCCGCCTGGTCTCGGCTCCAGCGACTACGCCTTTCCCCCGCCGGCTTCTAAGACTGCGTCTAAACGGGGGACGCTGCAAAGAGCCTGGCGCTAGCTCCGGAGACTTTTTGGTTTAGAAGACCCTGCGGCTTCCGCTTTCTTCCCCCGCCTTCCCTGTTCGTTTCAAGTGGGCTGTCCATGTATATGCCTAACCCAAAAGAAGAACAAACTCTCTCGAAGTCATTTGATTATGACATTGATGAAAGGATAAAAATGCCTTCATCACTTAGTACTTTAAAAATTGCAAGAACTTGAGGATGTTTTTCCCCGGGTTATGTAAGTGAGCTAGAAGTTTCAGGCATATAGTTAGACTACTAGCACTTGCTGTGTTGTGTGTTCGGCGGCGTTGTCCCGGCCGGCTGCATCAGAATCCGCAGGAAAGGTTCCGGACAAATACGACTGACAGGAGAGCTGGAGAGGTCAGCCCCAGGACTCAGGTGTGGAGCGGAGCGGTTGTCGAACTCACCTGCATGTAGCTAGCTATTGTGTATCTGTCTGTCTCGTGGAAATTACTTCACAGTGGTAAAGATATGCCACTGATCCCACAGAAGTGTACAATAGCCTTTGTTAGGACTTGACCTCAGGCTGTACCGTGTACCCAATGTTGACCAGGACACCGAAAATGAATTGGAGAAGTGGGCTGACTTCCCTGGAGCTCAGCCAGACAGGACTGGGATGAGATACACAAAGCAATTAGAGAAGGCCAGTTGATGGTAGCTAACGAAGGAGCAAATTCTATATAAGTTTCAACTTGGATGCTATGGCTATCATAAAACCAACCAACCAACAAACAAAAGCGACATTGTGGGTCACTGCAAGAAATAGGTCGCTGTAAAAGCTAGATCCCCTTATAGATTTAACGCCAATAAGCTCATCTCCACCCTTTGGGCAATATTTTATTCTCTGTCTCTCGATTTTCTTATATGTAAAGTGAGGGTGATCATAGTAGTACTTACAGGAGTATTGTGAAGATTAAATGAGGTAACAGATATGAAGCAGTTAGAACAGCAAGTGCCCCGTGAATGTTAGCTACTATTATTTACAAATCACGTTCCCTAAATTATCTCATTTCCTTAAGGCCCTTAGGGTAGATATCAGCCCAATTTGACCAAATGCAGTAATTGAGACTCAGAGACAATAGACAGTTTGCATTCCTTCACATATCCAAAACATTGCCAAAATGTCATCCAAAATATTGTACTACCAACAATGATATATAGGAATATTTCTCAACACTCTTGTAATCATTCGTTATTACCAGTTCTCACAAACTGCCAATTGAATAGGTGGAAAATGTCATTGTTACACTTATTTCATAATGAAGATGAACAACTTTTCCCATGTGTGAATGTGTATTTTTCTCTTCTGTGAGGTGGCCTCTTCATGTCCTTTGCCTATTTTGGGGGTAGAGTCTTCATCTTGTAGGATTCTAAAAGCAAGGAATAATATCAGATTGTTTCTTAAGAAGGAAAACTAGGACCAAGTAGTAGAGTAGGGATTCATTACAGGAATGGAGACCAGTTACGAGATTACAACTATAATCCTGTGGAGAGATGAGGAAGACCTGACTCAAAGCCATGATAAAAGGAAAAGAGAGAAAGCAATGCCATCAAGAGAGATGTATGAGACAGAACTGATGGAGGGGAGGAGTCTGGCATGACTAACATGTTTCTAGTTGGGTTGGCACCATTTGCCAGGACAGGGAATGCAGGGAAAGAAACAGTTTTGGCATGGTAGATGAAGAGTCCTGATTGGGACACATTACATTTAAGGAACCTGTGAGAAATTCAAGTGACCACACAAACTTGGAGTTCAGAGAAGAGATCTAAGCTACTGTATTTTATCAATTCTAATATGCACACTTTTCCACATTTTAAAAATCTCTGAAATAGGGATATATCTTACATTTGATTTTATCTCATAATTATTTAGCAATGTGTGTCTTATAACTCGTGGTATCTTCGATTTGATGAAAAACAGTAAAATTGGTAGACTTTGCTTTACAAGTGTTAGTTGGAGCTTATTTATTTATTTTTTTATCCTCACCCGAGGACATTTTTCCATTTTTTGTTCAGGTAGAGTAGGAGGGAGAGAGAGGAACAGAGAGAGAGAGAAACATCGACGTGAGAGGGACACATTGAGTAGCTGCCACCCGCACGACCAACCAGGGCCAGGGACAAACTGCAATCAATACATCATGTCCAACTATCAAGAAAAAATTACAAGGCATACTGAAAGCAAAAAAACAAAAACAATTTGAAGAGATAGAGAAACCATCAGAACCAGACTCAGATATGGCAGGGATATTAGAATTATCAGACATAAAATTTGAAATAACTATAATTAATATACTAAAAGCTCTAATGGATAAAGTAGATAGCATGCAAGAACAGACAGGCAATGAGAAATAGAAGCTGAGGATAGTAAGCTGAGAAATAGAAATTCTAAAAAAGGGAAAGCCCTGGCTGGTTTGGCTCAGCGGTTAGAATGTTGGTCCGTAGACCAGGGAGCCCCGGGTTTGGTTCCCACTAAAGGCACGTACCTTGGTTGCAGTTTGTCCCCGGCCCCAGTTGGGGTTGTGTGGGTGGCAGCCAGTCAATGTGTCTATCGATTTTTTTCTCTCTCTCTTCCTCTCGCTGTATCTGAAGATGAATGCAAAAATGTCCTTGGGTGAGGATAAAAAATAAAAAAGGGGAAAAATGCTAGAGATAAAAAACACTGTACAGAAATAAAGAATGCCTTTGATGGGCTTATTTGTAGACTGATCGCAACTGAGGAAAGAATCTCTCAGCTTGAGGATATGTCAATAGAAACATTCAAAACTAAAAAACAAAGAGAAAAGAGACTGAAAAAAAACAAAACAAACAAAAAAGAAAGCAGAAGAAAATTAATAAGAATAAAAATTAAATCACAAGTCAATTACATTGAAAACAGGAAATCAATAATACCAAAAGCTGTTTCTTTGTAAAGATCAATAAAATTGATAAGCTTCTAGCCAGGCTAAGAGAGAAGCCACAAATTACTAATATCAGAAATGAAAGAGGGGACATAACTACAGATCATGTGGACTTCAAAAGGGCAATAAAGGAATATCATGAACAACTCTGCGCCCACAAATTTGATATCCTAGATAAAACGGACAAATTCGGTGAAAGATACACATTGCCAAAATTCACACAAGAAGAAATGGACGGCTCAGCTAGTGTGGCTCAGTGGTTGAGCACTGACCCATGCACCAAGAGGTCACTGGTTCGATTCCCCGGTTTTGGGCTCTGTCCCCAGTAGGGGTGTGCAGGAGGCAGCCCATTGATGTTTCTATCTCTCCCTCTCTCCCTTCCTCTCTTTAAAAATCAATAAAAAGATTTTTTAAAAATAAAATGAAATGGACAATCTGAATAGGCCTATATCTATTTTAAAAATTGAACCACTAGCCCGTCTGGTGTGGCTTAGTGGATTGAGCATCCTTTCATGGACTGAGGTCCTGTTCTATTCTTGGTCAGGGCACATGCCCGAGTTGTAGGCTCCATCCCCAGTAGGGGGCGGGCAGGAGGCAGCCAGTCAATGTATCTCTCTCACATCGATGTTTCTATCTCTCTCTCCCTTCCTCTATAAAAAAGAATCAACAAAAATGTATTTTTAAAAATTGAACCAATAATTAATTGGTTCAACACAGAAAGCACCTAGCCCAGATTGGTTCACTGGTGAATTCTAGTAAAAATTCAAGAAAGAGATTATACCAATCCTCGTAATCTTTCCCACAAGATAAAAGCAGAGAGACTACTTCCCAACTCATTCTACCAGTGCAGCATTTTCCTAATACCAAAGCCAGACAAGGAGACCAATGTTTCTCATGAACAGATATGTGAAACTTTCAATAAAATATTAGCAAACTTAATCCAACAGCATATAAAAAGAACTATATACGACGCACCAAAGGGTTGCAGGTTCAATCTCCAGCCCCAGGGCCATGAAAACTGTACTAGCTCCCAAATGTATCCCGAATCCATCTATTCTACTCCATCTCTGCTAGTATCGCCACCATCCTTCAGCCCATCTCTCTGCTTCTTCTATGGCTCCTCTGTGACCCTTCTCAACCTTAGATATATCATTCCTCTGCTCCAGTGGTTTTTCACTGCATTAAGAATAAGATCTCGCCCTGGCTGGTTTGGCTCAGCGGTTAGAGCGTCAGCCTGCTGTCCGGAGAGACCTGGGTTCGGTTCCCGCTAAGGGCATGTACCTCGGTTGCAGTTTGTCCCCGGCCCTTGTTGGGTTGTGTGGATGGCAACCACTCGATGTGTCCCTTTCACGTCGATGTTTCTCTCTCTCTCTCTCTCCCTCCCACCCTCCTTCCCACTCATCTGAACAAAAATATCGAAAAATGTCCTCAGGTGAGGATAAAAAAAAAAAAAAAAAAAGAATAAAATCTCAAATCTTTACCCTGCCTGTCACAGCCTATTATAAACTGATCCTAGCTTCCTCTCCTATCTCATCCTCAATCTATGCTCTCCCTTGCTCTCTGGGTTTCAGCCATCTTGACTTTCTTGCTTCATAAGCATGCCAAGTTTATTTTCATTTAGGGCTCTTATTGTGTCTACTGCCTAGAACATCCAATTTCCTTTGTCCTCTGTAGCCCTCCAACTTTGTATAGCTCAGTGAATTTTATTATTTTCAGATCAAATGTCACTTCATAGAGTCATTTCCTTAACACCTACATAATTTAAAATGCCACCTCTTGTTTTGTTGTATTCCATGCATTTACCTCTTTCTGTGATTATTCTTATACTGATATACTTGTTATTTTATGTAAGCTGCCATTGAAAAACAAGTTCCAAGAGGGACTTTTTAATTCTCTAAGAATAAGATCTCCAGCATCAAGAACAATGCCTGGAATGTAGTAGTAACTCACTAATATGGGAGAAAAGATGAAGGAGAGGAGGGAGGGAAGGAAGGAGGAAAGGAAGGAAGAAGGGAGGAGAGGTTACATTGAAATGTCAACTGTGAAGATGCTGTAAGAACCTGGAATCGGTGAATAAGATGGTGTTAAGCCAAAAAAAAAAAAAGTAAAATTTAA